ACATGAACATGAACATGAACATGAACATGAACATGAACATGAACATGAACATGAACATGAACATGAACATGAACATAAAATATTTAAATATATTTAATATTTAATCTTTACTAATAATATTAAAATTTATTTAATTTATATTAATAATATTTAAATATATTTAATCTATATCAATAATATTTAAATATATTTAATCTATATTGATAAAATTTGAAATGAATCATATCAAATGATTAAAACGAAATACTCTTCAATTTGGATTTGTTTTAATTTAGGAGCTCTGATTACAGATCTTCTACTATGCCACGAAGCACCCTCATTTGGAGTAATTCAGGAAACACAAGGAGTCATATGTACTCCTCTATGTATAGCCAAGATATGCCAAAGCATTATAGTAGGTAAGAAATAAAAGGAGTCACATTCACATGTACTCATCTATGTACACTGTACTGCCAAGATATGCCGAAGCATTATAGTAGGTAAGAAATAAAAGGTGTCACACTCACATGTACTCATCTATGTACACTGTACTGCCAAGATATGTAGGTAAGAAATGAAAGGAGTCACATTTACACATTTATGTACACATGTACAGTAATGATATGTTGGAGCATTATAGTAGGTAAGAAATAAAAGAAATCACATGTACTCTTCTCTGAATTTGCTTAATCATAACAGATATAAAAGGATTAATTAAGACTTTTTGCTGTACACTGTACAGCAAAAAGTCATTATGGATAAACGTTATAAGAGAGTAGTCATACTAAATATTGAGAATTGATGAAAAACGAAACAAGAACAAAAAACTAAAAATAGCTAAATGAAATTAATCGGATTTAGAAGAAGAAAAGCTTATTTATAACTGCTGAATTGCCAGGTTACTCATAGTTACTCAAGCCGTTTACCCGCACTTGGTCTTAAATCATGATTTCACCAGGAAACTAAATTTTCCTTATAAAGTCGACCCACAACTTAGAACCTCACAACAATACTAAGAACATTCCTGTGGTTCTCCCGAGTTCCCCAATCAAAATTTTGAGGCAAATCGATCAAGAGGTTCAAGAGTTATAGAACAAACAAACAGAGATTACTACTTTATACATATAGATAAGACGCTTTTAGTGCTTTGTTAATCTATTACGTAACTTATCACCGTCAAGCTTCTAGCGCCCGACACAAACAAAAACATTATGCAACAATTCTATTTAAAGTTTTTGACAAAACACCTCTTGTTCAGATGTATTTGTTTTTGAAAACTTTCTTTTATATCAATAACTCTTCTCATACTCGAATTTTCCAATCCTTGTTTCTAATTTTAAAACATAAAAATTTGCGAGATCAAACCAAAAAATAGTAATTATTTATAATCAAAATTTTAAAAATTTGTGTTTAAAAGTTTTTTATTTTTGTAAAATTTTAAAAATGCACGAAAAAATATTATGAAATCCTTTTTTTGTTTTGTTTTATACTGTACAAACAGAAGATGCTCACAGATAAAGCCAGAATTAAGAGTTGAAAAAGGAGATGGGCGCGAAGCGCACGAAAAGCCTAGAAAATTTTAAAAAGAGCATTTTTTCCTGGAATTGCAAGTTATAATTGAAATTCTGAAAATAAGGTTAGACCCCTCTAATAGATGTTGACACTTTACTAGAAATAAGAGAGATATTTCAAACTTCTAGTGAAATCTTTTTGCAAAACTTTTTAGAAAATCCTAATTAAAATAATTGGTAAAGATGCAGTTTTTTTATTATTCTTAGTTGTGTCTTCGCTAAAGTGACTTACGGATATATGCAACAGAAAACATAAAGAAAAAATAAGAATTTTTGTCGTTTTGATATTTTTCTTTATATTTATTCGATTAAGAAATAAAGGGCTTCTTTGTGAATAATAAATAAATAAATTAATAAATTAATTAATTAATAAATTAATGTCATGAAAGATTAATTTTTACAATCTTTTTTATTATTCTTGACATTCTTATTTATAAATGAATTGTGCCTGTTCTACGCTCACTTAGGTAACAGTGATTTATATCATTTATTTATTTCATTAGAAGACCAGCTTTATCCAGGTTTCATTTCATTATTTCTTTATGAGTTTTTCTCTGTCTCTTTTTTAAACATAATGAAGTGAACACCACTCCAATTAGTAAAAGATGAACAAGACTCTAAGTTGATTTTAAGAAATTCGACAAAAAATAAAAATAGATATGATTGAAATCAAGGGGGGGAGAGGGGATACAAAATACGTGAATTTTTATAGAAAATTCATGCTTTAAGTTACACTATTAGGATAATCTCTTAGATTACTTCAATTAAAATAATAAGATTTAAATGTTTAGAAACTTGTCAAAATAAGAAAAAAATTCAACCTAAGAAAACTACGTAGCATACCTATTTGAATTGGGTATATGCCCCTCAATATAAGGTTTCTTGGAATTACAACACAGTTCATCTAAAGAACCTTTATAATTGAGGTTTTCAATTATTATATTAAAAAATTCAGATTTAAGAAAACTGACAAATACCATCCAGAACATTTTCTGTTTCTATTCTTCAAAGTTAAGTTTAATTTTCCAATACTTAAAGAAGATTTGGATTGTTAAAAGTTAAAATCTTGAAAAGTTAAACCTTTTTTTTTGCAAAAACATACTATTATCTTCAAAAATTGTTTTGTAAAAAAACCCCCCTCCTAACTCAACGTTCCCGTTTTGTCCCATTAAGTGAAAATTGCATTTATTTTTATTTATTTTATTGCGTGACATTTTCTGCAAAATGCATCTGCAGGAATTGTTTGCAAATATTTTTAGCGTGCAAAGCTATTTTTAGGCTAACCTTCATAATAGGTGATGTAACTTCTAGATATGTTCAGGAACAATTTTACCTGTTCGGACATCATGCTATAAAATTACAGAAAAGAAGCATTAAAATCTATTTATGAATAATTGGTTCTGAATTGAAAAAGCAAAGGTTTTCCTCATCTACTTTGTTTCATGAGTTTTCGTTGAGGCTAGTTTTCATTCTAGAAGAATATTCAAGAATTTTTGGGGTTTGCGCATTTTCTGGAAATAGTTGGTAGATTTTTGCAGTCCTATTATTATACATTTGNCAAGATTGTTATAAACCTGATTGACAAAGTTATTCTTCAAAATTTTAAAAAAAATTCTTTTTATGTAATTTCTTTTATCTGCAGCTATAAAAATATTAAATACTTTTTAAAGCGGAAGAAGAACTAATATGTTTGGGACACCAATAATTTAGTATTTATTACTTTAAAAATGTAGTGAATGGTGAAAATGCTGGGGGGGGAATTTCTTCCAAAACTGAAAACATTGATCAACTTGTTTTGAAATAATTTGACAGGCTTTCTAAGAAAACCCTGTTTTCCCATCAACGCGAAGCAATATATTATAGGTTTCAAAACATGGACGTAGGTTAAAGGGCTGCCTGGGTATCATCACCTATACTGACCCTATTACTATTTAAAATTTCACGAAAATAATTGCGAAAAGCGAGCGAACATTTTCACATTTTCACATTCACGGTCACATGTCTCAGGGTGTATCTATCAAAAATAAAACTCTCCTGTCTTTTTGTTATAGCAACACTCCTCGATTAGCATTCCAGAATGGGTTAATGGTCAAGATAAAAAGATAGTCACCGCTTTTTCTCAGAAGGATGGATTACTGGGGGGGCCCCTCTGTACTCCCCCTTTCCGCGGCCCCATTCCCTGTAAAAGTTAAAAACAAAATTCCGTGAAAAAAATTTCACACTGTAAGTGTAAATTTGTCAGATAGTATCATTTCTAAAAATAACTGTATCAATCAACAAGGAATTTCAACTTGAACTTCAAAACAACATTATGTGCGTAATACAGTATTAAGATAATCTTAACCTTGAGATTATGTTTGCTGTTGAACTTAAACATAAGCTTTAGCATCAAAATAATATTAAAAAGATTACACGAATTATTAAAAGAATCCTAAACATTATAATTAACATGAACATGAACATGAACATGAACATAAACATGAACATGAACATGAACATGAACATGAACATGAACACGAGCATGAACATTCAACATGATCACACAAAGGAAAAAGAATATGTATATGAACATGAACATAGGTCTCTCTTAGTATAAATGAATGTGACATCTCATTAATCTCAGTTTGTATATAGAATTAATTAATATTAATTAATATTAATTAATTCTATATAATAATTTAGATATTCGGATCCACCAAGAAGCCTCACATTCTTCAGGTATTCATTCATGCATTCAGTTATTCATCCATTCATTCATCCTTTGATCCATCCTTCCTTCCATCCTTATTTTCATCTATTCATTCATTCATCCTAATTCATCCTATAGATATTCACAACAAGCCACCCACAAATATTCAAAAGAATTGAGTCTTTGTCACAAACTCAAATTTTCGAATCCCTTTTTCTTTTCTACTCATGATTTAAACCTTAGATATTTCAAACTTAAGTATTTGGGCAAAGAAATTTTACAGTTTGAAATATCTAAGGTCTACCACAATGGGTTGCAAAGATATAAGGATTAGAACATCATAGTTTGTGGCAAAGACTTAACTCCTTCGCAAAATTCAAAAGATCAGATTAATGAGACTAGTCCTCTAAACCTAAAAGATCAGATTAATGAGACTAGTCCTCTAAACCTAAAAGATCAGATTAATGAGACTAGTCCTCTAAACCTAAAATTCTGGAACCTATACCGTGCGGCCCATGGAACTCTGTTTGTTTAATCCCAAAGGGATTGATTCTTTGCAACAAGTTTTGATTTTTTAATTCATATATCTTTGCAACGTCGTGTCGTAGACCTTATTTTAAACTAAGAATTCTGGCAGATCAAATAATATAAATTTGAAAGTAAGATCCGAATGTGATCATGCTTTTAATTATCAAAAATTTTGTATCTTAAATGTATTTGTTTAAATTTTAAAAAGATAATATTAACCTAAGAAAGTATACGCTCTCGCCTTGAACCCTTATTTTTTAACTTTATATTTGCAACCATTTATAGGTCCGGCCCCCCCCCCTCTCCTGTCTTTTTGTTATAGCAACACTCCTCGATTAGCATTCCAGAATGGGTNCATGGGGGTCATAGTCTACTTTTTCAACCTGTAATATTTCAAACTGTTTAATACTTTTGAAAAAAAAAGTTCTATGACATTTACTAGGCAAGGATTAGAAAGGCAAAGATGTAAGGATTAAAAAATTACAGTTTTAGGAGAATTATCAGTTGTTCATTTGAAACTTTTAGGAACTTTTAGATTTAAAGTGAAGTAAAGATAATTAGAAGGAAAACTATTAAATTAATTTAAAATTTCTCGTTTAAATTTAAATTATATTCTATTCAACCTTTTATCCTAACATTAATATACAGAAAAAAAAAATTTGGAAAATATTATAAATGAATTTTAAATTTCTCGTTTGAATTTAGATTATATATTCTATTTAATCTTTTATCCTAACATTGATATACAAAAAAATGATTTGGAAAATACTGTAAAATGAATTTTAAAGGGCTGTAGGTGTAATTTTCTATGTTATTATTATAGAGTGGCATGTCTGATTCACCACGATACCCTTAGAGGTTGTGTGTGCAATCAAAAATGCATTAGATATATATATCTTCATTTATATTTTAGATATCACAGTTCAACACCAATAAGATACTCCACATATCCCAGATTCCATAGCAGATTTTACAGGTTAAATATCAATATATGAATTTATTAGATACTCTACATATCCCAGATTCCATAGCAGATTTTACAGGTTTAATATCAATATATGAATATATTAGATACTCCACATATCCCAGATTCCATAGCAGATTTTACAGGTTTAATATCAATATATGAATATATTAGATACTCTACATATCCCAGATTCCATAGCAGATTTTACAGGTTAAATATCAATATATGAATATATTAGATACTCCACATATCCCAGATTCCATAGCAGATTTTACAGGTTTAATATCAATAAATCAATATATTTTGCTTTTTTGTAAAATGTAGCAATTCAAACAAAAAAATCCGTAATATTATTTTCGGAAATAACAATAAAAAATGGCAATTTAAAAATCAACAATTAAAAGTTAAAATGTAATAAAACATGGGTCCCAAAACACCCTAAAAGCCTAATATTTAATTGATTTTACAGTAGATTCTTGTAATAAAATTTAAGGTTATTTTTGCTTAAAAAGATTTCTGGTAATGTTTAATCTATTTTAGTAAATTTAAATAGTTTAAGCAAGTTTCAGCGAACTAGACAGCTGATTGAAATTGAATTAGTTAAGTTGAGAGGTCAAAAACTAAAGTACATAATGCTTTTTTAAATTTGAATTTTCAATAAAATCAATGAAATTAATGTAATTCTAGCACCTTTTCAGCAAAGTTTACAATGGCCGATTGACAAAGGTACCCTTGAAACCTTTATCTGATCAATCGTGTGAAATAAGTTTTCGTTTTCTTGGTTTAAAAATTAATTTTAGTTTTTCTATCATTTATTGTCAGAAATTCTTTCTATAACTTCTTTTGAATTTAAACTACTCTAAATTCCAATCAGGAATCTTCAGACTGCAAAGATGAAAGAATTTATTATTATTTTTAGATGAAGCCACTGATTGAATTTGAAGCATTGAAGCAGCCGAAAACACCACACTGTTAGAAAAATGTCCTAAAAATTTTGTTAAATTTCGAAACAAATACACTTTGGTCTTTTATAAAAAGATAAAATTGTTAGATTTTTTTCTAATTGTGGAATAAAAACTAATATTTTTGTATTCACTCAAAATAGAATTTGGGATTTAGTCACCTAATACTAGTAGCTTAGCTTCATTTGCCAGGACTTCAGTTGCCATAATTTTGTCATTTTGAGTATAAATCTTATTGTAATTGATCACTAAGCAAATGAATATGTTATAACTTATGACAAGGACTCGTTAATTAAAACAATATAATGGTCACTGTAATTACAACAAATGAATGTTAACCATAAATAACTATAAATAAACGTAACTAATGATATTGTTGAAATAATGAAAACCATAAAAGAAAAAAGAAATTAAAATCTTTATTTATATACTTTGCTTTTTTGCTTGTTTTTATCCAAAAAACGTCAAAACGGCTGAACCGATCAGGCCCAAGTTCTTTTAAAGTATGTTTTAAAGGGAAAATGGAAGATATTGTTATGATGCAAAACAAAGTATTCGAGTTAATTGTGCACAATGGAAAGGGTTCATATATATATATTAATTCCCTATACACAAAGCGCAGTCTTACAAAACTTTGAAAACAAGAACAGGGTTTCCCACGAAACATGACAGTTAAGGAAGACTTGAAGATTGTCTCTGAAATAATGGTGTGGCTTTGTACTAGGGGTTTACGGTGAAAAAGAAAATTTTCGTTTTTTTCGCTTCTATCTGTTTCGCGAAGAAATGGGAAATTTTCCGAAAAAAATAATGCAAAAGTTTCGGGGAAAAAATCGGAAGTTATAAGGAAAAAAACGAAATTATGCGAAAAATAACACAAAAATTTCGCGAAAAAATATGGTTCATTTAAAAGATTCTCTCTTGTAATTGGCTGGCTCATGGCTAGCTGGATTTGGATGAACGTAAATGGACGGACAGAAAGTCAGAAAGATAGCTAGAGAATTCAAATTCTCTATATCAAACATTTATTAAAGTAAAGGAAAAGAAATCTATGATATAATAAGACTTCAAATGTTTAGCTCTCAGCGGAAAATTCCACAAGTTCTTTTGCGCAATTAATTGTTGCATTTTTTCTCTTTTTCCATTTTTACGAAAAAATGCGAAATTTCACGAAAAAAATTGCGAAAAGCGAGCGAACATTTTCATATTTTCACATACAAGGTCACATGTCTCTGTCTGTATCTATCAAAAATAAAAATTATGAGATAATAATTGGAGAAAACCTAAGTTACAATTAGTTTTCTCTGGGATATCTTTTCATATTTTCACATACAAGGTCACATGTCTCTGTCTGTATCTATCAAAAATAAAAATTATAAAATAATAATTGGAGAAAACCTAAGTTACAATTAGTTTTCTCTGGGATATCTTTGTTTTCAGATTGGTTGCGTATTTGCTGAATATGATCTGTTCAAACCTTCTATTTCCATACAAAATTGTATTGATAGGAAGTTTTGTATAAATTTGACACAGTTTTTTTTTTTATCAATTTCTCGAGACAGGAACATCAGATATATTATTCATGGGTCGCAATCAAGAGCTAAAGTGACTAGCTTTCAGTCTACAACCCTTTCGTTTTTCCTTTACAGTCCCTTTAAGCGATTTAAAAACCAAAATGAGGTTTATAAATTCAGATTTTATGATAATTAATTTAACAATGTACATTTTGCATCTATATCAATTCACTTGAAATCACTATTTTTAGTAACAATCTATCTATATAATAAGACAAGACATTTGTATATATATATGTTGCCTATAGCCGGCCAAACGGCTGGACCGAATGGGCTGATTTTTTTGGGGACACTCATGGGTGGGTGTCATAGGCTAAAAAAGAAAAAAAAATTTCAGCGAGGCCCTTCAGCCAGTAACATATAAAAAAGTAGACCCAGTCTTGAAAATTGATTTAACTTTTTAAATGAGTTTGCAATCTTTGTAATTTTGATAACTTAAGATGTACCGTCCTGCTCCCTAACGTAATTAAATCATGACTGAACAGCTTCATGTTCACATATGATAACTATTCATTAAACAATTAATAATCTTTAGTACTAGGTTGTAAAGCATGCAGTGCAAGTACAAAGTTTCCTATTCTATCGTAAGTAAGGGCTTGGATAGACTGAGAATAGGTGGCATAGATAAAACTAGTATGAATGGAGAACATGGGAGTGCCCAATTGTATCTATCTATCTATAATTCATCTTTTACACTTAGAAAACCCAAGATGCAATACACCAATGTTTACAGTTTAGAAAAATAGATGCTTTAATGTGAGTCATTTTGTTTTGTACTAGCTTGAGAACCCAGCGTTTCTCAGGGTACTCATAGTATACTCCCGCCGTTTACCCGCGCTTGGTCGTAAATTACGATTTTATCTATTTTTCCTAATAAAAGTGGACTCACTCAACCTAGTAAATCAAGCTAAGAACATTCCCGTGGTTCTCCCGAGTTCCCCAATAATCAAAATTTGAGGCAAATCAGTCCGGGGGTTCATGAGTTATGATAGGACATACAAATAGACACAGAGATTACATCTTTATAAATTACTAGCTTAGGAACCCTGGTTACTAAAAGTTACCCGCACTTGAACGATTATACCGGGAAACTAAAATTTTGCTATTGAAGTCGACCCACTCAACTTAGAATCTTAGAATATTCCCGTGGTTCTCTCAAGTTCTCAAATCAAAATTTGAGGCAAATCGGTCCAGGGGTTCCTGAGTTATGATCGTACAAAAAAACAGACAAACAGAGATAACATCTTTATATATAAAGATACGAAGCAGTGTCAGAAAATATGTACTATGTATATACGTATGTACTATGTATGTTACCTGTGGTCGGCTGATTTGTAAAATTTAGAAAGATAAAACTTAAACAAAAAATGTTACATAACATTGGCGGTCTCTCTTTTCCCCCCAGATTAACAGTTTCAACTCAAGAAATCATTTTCAGCATTGTGATGGACAATCTAGGTACTACAGCTAGTACAATATACAATACATTTATTTATTTATCAATATTATTATTTTTATTATTATTATTATTATAATCATTGTCATTATCATTATTATCAATATTATTATTATCATTCATTATTATCATTATCAATATTATCATTATCATTATTATCATTATCAATGATATCATTATCATTATCATTAGCATTTTCATTATCATTATCATTATCAATTATCATTATCATTATCATTATCATTATCATTATCATTATCATCATCATTATCATTATCATTTACATTATCATTATCATTATCATTATTATAATCATTAATTAGCATTATCATTATCATTATCATTATCATTATCATTATCATTATCGTTATCATTATCATTATCATTATCATTATCATTATCATTATCATTATCATCGTTATTATCATTATCATTATCATTATCATTATTATCATCATTAGCATTATCATTATTATCATTATCATTAGTATTGTTTGTTTACGTTTGTATCAATAATACACATAAAACGTACATTGTTCACGTCTGTATAAATGATTCATGTAAAACGTAAATTGTGTGTTTAAGTCAGTATCTATGATTTAAGTAAAACGTACATTGTTTTTTTAAGTCTGTATCAATGATTCACGTAAACATTGCTTGTTTACGTCTGTATGAATGATTCACGTAAACATTGTTGTTTACGTCTTTATCCATGATTCACGTAAACATTGCTTGTTTACGTCTTTATCCATGATTCAAATAAACATTGCTTGAATTTACGTCTTTATCCATGATTCAAATAAACGTGTTTGCTTACGTCTGTATTGATGATTCAAAGAAAACGTACATTGTTTGTTTACAAAAATAATTTACGTAAAACGTACATTGTTTGTTTACGTTTGAGGATATCAGCTGTTCTGAATCTGATGGAGGCCGTGTGTAAACTACTATTACCAATATATTCAGCTATAGAGGCTGGGTAAATATAGAGGATTCCCAGGCTTATATTTTCAAAATAGAAATTTTAAAGGAACAGTCGACGTAACTTCAACTAACCCTCCATTTGAACAGTTACATACTCACAATGGTACCATTTAAACTTGTTATTCAGTAAACGTGAAAAAAGATGTCTATTTTCTGCCCTGTCTCTGCTACACGACTCCACGCGTGGCCTCAGTCAAGAAACCCCAATTACAAAAATTATCCGTTTTTGACAGGTTTTGCTCTGACAACGGTTTTCAAGCTAAATTGAGATTTGACCGGCGCGCAGGTCTTTAAATAGATCGATTAGTTTCTTTTTAACACGTGGAAAATTTAACAATTAATTATTTATTGCCAGGCAGCTATTTTTCTCTTTTTATTATTGTAAGGGTGAAACTATATATCCAAAATGTCAAATACTTTTTTGCACAAGAAAAAAATGATGCAGGGGCAAAATATTAAGGAAAAAAATTGAATCAAGGAAGAGATCGATTTTTCAATAATTTCAAAACATTTTTGGACGTTTGATTTAAGAAAAAAAATAGTTTCTTATACTCTTCCGAAAAAAGCGTTTTTTACTTAATACTATTTATTTAACTAATTTTCAAGGAATTTTCACCTTTAGAAGTTTCTTAAGATCGGCATGATTTACGAGTTTTAGGTCGTCGTTCAAATCTCAACGTTTGTGAGCAACACTGTAATGTACATATTTTGACCAGCAACTGATTTTTTGAGGGGGGGGGGCGCGCCCGTACCCCCCTTCCCTTCACTTGTTTTCCCTGTTCAATGAAAAAAACATGAAAAAAAAATATTTAAAGTTTTAATATTTATTCATATGTCTTTGGTTTCATCACAAAATTTTACGAAAAGAGAGAGAAATTGTTTTCGTCGCGAATCTCACAAATTTCACAAGAATTTGTCAATTTACATATTTTAATGAGTATTTAAACAACTAAATCTAAAAAATAATATTATCTATCTACAGTGGCGTTGGCCGTTGTGACCAATTAAAAGGTTACAATACATAAATTTAATGAAACATTTAATATCAAGAAATGTACAAACAGAAAATTTAATTGCATCAAAATCTACTTAACAGCCCGTGGAAAATTATTTAAAATTATTAACTTTTAAGCTTCATCACAAAAATGTCCAATAACTAACCATATAAGTAATGAAGTTCAATTTGCACAAAAAGAAATTTAAAGATTAACTGATTCCTTATTGGTCAGTGTTTAAAGTTTAGGACTATTGCAACTTTATACTATGATTTTTCTCCATTAAAGGGACTGTACGCTAATTTCAATGCAAAGATGACAATGTCCGAGTTACAACGTGTAATTTAACGTTATTTGTCTGTGTTAAATTCTATAAACTTTTCCATTGTCTCTCACATGCAAGAAATGCGCAAGTCACTTTGACAGAGAAACAACCTAACAAAATTAAAAAGTAAAAAAGCACATATGGATATCTAATTCACACTTAATCAGACAAAGCTTTTTAGGGCACCGTTGTTAATCGGGCATTGCATCTTTGTTTGGAGGTTAACTTGAAATTACGCTTACAGTCCCTTTAATTAAAAGTAAAGGTTTTGGAAATGAAATAATAGAAATTAACATATAACAAGTTATGCTAATCTACATTCAACAATTAAATGTCGGAACAAAACTGTGCACTATTAAATAATAGTCTGTGACTAGCTGAAGAAGGGAGCTAATATATCTATTATTAACTATAAATGATCGAGGTCTTAATGTAAATAAAAACAAATTTGGAATGTTTTTCAGTATTGACTTAGGCAAGTGTTTAATTTTAAAAAAAATCCACATATATGCGTCCCAACATAAAAAAAATACATTAAACATAAATAACATAATAGGCCTGGTTAATGGTTAGGATTGATTACACTAAGGGTAGGTTAGAGCAAGAAATATATGCTAATGGTAGGGGAGATTAGGATTTGTGTACATTTTGCCGTGACTGTTCTGAAACTGGTTAAGGTATTTTTCTTATTGTTTTGATAAAAACCAGTTAAAATACGTCACAGTCTAATGTGTGCAAAATCCCAGTCCCGGTCCTAACTTTTGTCTGGAGTAGGTACTTCAGAGCCCGAAATTTAAAAGAGTATCGTTGAACGAAACTACCGAGTTTCATTTTTGGGGTCTTAACATTTGTGTGGATTTTGATTTAAGAGATTCGAAAAAATGGAGAATATGAAGAAACCAAATAAAAAATATATATTATAACAAAAATGTAAATATCCACAAAACTGCCTAACCCCTCTCGTGAAACCCGGCTTCCAAAACTGGTTTTCATAACGATACCCTGTCTTAAGTTTTCGGCTCAGAGGAGTTTAGAACAACAGTTTTGATTTATTGATTGCGACGAAGGGAGAGGGTCGGATAAACTTTGAACACTGTGGCTTTCACTTGGTAGATCCCTAGTCTTCGCCTAATAATAGATGATAATAATAGATGATAATAATAGATGATAATGATAATGATAGATGATAATAATAGATGATAGATGATAATAATAGATGAAAATAATAGATGATAATAATAGATGATAATAATAGATGATAATAATAGATGATAATAATAGATGATAATAATAGATGATAAAATGATTTTAATAACAATCAGCAATTAGCAATGGCTAATGATGAGATGATGAGATGATGAGATGATGAGATGATGAGATGATGAGATGATGAGATGATGAAATGATGAAGTGATGAAATGATGAAGTAATGAAATGATGAAGTGATGAAGTGATGAAGTGATGACGTGATGAAGTGATGAAGTGATGAAGTGATGAAGTGATGAAGTGATGAAGTTATGAAGTGATGAAGTGATGAAGTGATGAAGTGATGAAGTGATGAAGTGCTGACGTGATGAAGTGATGGAATGATAAATTGATAAATTGATAGTGATAAAATGGATGAAATGGACGAAATGGACGAAATGGATGAAATGGATGAAATGATGAAATGGATGAAATGATGAAATGATGAAATGATGAAATGGATGAAACGGATGAAACGGATGAAATGGATGAAATGGATGAAATGGATGAAATGGATGAAATGGATGAAATGATGAAATGATGAAATGGATGAAATGGATGAAATGGATGAAATGATTTTCCCCCTTAAAAGTATGAACCCCAGAATAATAATTAATAATAATAAAGAACCTGTTGAAGAAGCTCGTGTGCTATCTCTGTAAACAGTTTGTCCACATTATCACAGTTCTTTGCTGATGTCTGTAGAAAGTACATATTATGCCGGGCTGCGAACTCCTCCCCTACCTCGGCAGGGATCTCGTGGTCCTCGCGGTCTATCTTGTTCCCCACCAGCACACGCAGCACCTTCAACATCAAACAGTGAGAACTAGAAAACTTTGGAATGACTTTCGTTTTTCAAAGGCGTACTCATGATGGGAGGGGGCTCTTGGGTGGTAGACCCCCATGGATCATTAAAATCTATGGTTGACCCCCCCGCCCCCTGGATAGAACTGTTTACACCCCTGTCGTCTTTTGCTGTAGAAGTTCAGTAAGGATTGTTGTAACTGAAATGTCTCTAAAAAATCTTCTGGGCACCTTTTCCGGAATAAAAAATGATACTACTGTTTTGTTTCGTTTCAATATTTAAGCCTTTTTTTAAGAATCTGAGGTATCATCTACATAATAAAACAAGACATTCGTATATTATATGTTGCGTATAGCCGGCCAAACGGCTGGACAGATTGGGCTGAAATTTTTTGTGGACACTCATGGGTAGCCGTGTTAAAGGCTAATAAAAATTCAAACAAAATTTTCTACGGGCAACGCCGGGGTCTTTAGCTAGTTTAAAATATTTCTAACATTGTATTGGCATAATCTAGTTTTATTTTAATTACAATTCTTTTACTCTAACAAAAGATTTGATTAACATTAAGATTTAGCCAATCGTTACGAGTGCATGAAACATCTTTGAATTATCATGAATGAATAAATGAAAAGTCTTTTAATCGTTATTAATGAATTAATAAATGACAAATCGTTTAATCGTTAGAAATGAATGAGAAATTGAGCGTTATATTTGAATGTGTAAAAAATCTGTTTATTTTTATGGAATGAAATTATGAAAAATCTTTTTTCGTTAATAATGAATGAAAAATCTTTTAATCGTTATGAATGAATAAATAAAAATCTTGTAATCTTTATGAATGAAAAACAACTCATCGTTATGAATGAATAAATTAAAATCTTTTAATTGGAATAAATGAACAAATGAAAAATCCTTTAACCTTAGGTGAGGCATATTCTTCTATCTCCCTCAACCAATCTGGACAACAATCAAAGGTTGGTTGGTTGGATACATCGTAGACGAGGATTAGCGCATGCGCAGATCTGTAGTAACTCTGGGTTATACTTCGGAATCTGAATGAATATAGGTTTCAGAAGTTATTAGAAGGTTTGAGGGGAATATTGGGATTGCTGCAAACATAAAAGACTGCTGTGAAAGTTTGATGTTTGTTGAACCAGGAGAATTTTTCTGCAAAAGAAGTTTCTCCCAAATGGGCCAAATTACGACGAAAGTTTTTTTTAGGTTTGAAAGAACCTAGAAAATTTACCCAATCGACAATAGACGTTCTTCACCAAAATGTCATTTTCCCTAAAAATTTTTAAGGTTCTAAGAGATATAATTAATTGGAAAAAACCTAAATATTGTGAGTGAATAATTCGATGATTTTGGAGGAAAAAATTTCACACTCACGTTTCACAGTAATTTTTGATAGTATTCCAGAAAAAAAATATTTTTGTAAAACAAATATTAATGTCACCTCTCTTGTCCTGCCGTGTCCCAAATCTGTAATTTAATTTTTTCTCCGTCAATTTCTACAGTTTTTATCATAAAATCAACTCCTATGGTTGCTCCCTGTCCTGGGGGGAAAAGACCCTGAAAAAATAAGGAATTTAAAAAATATATATTTTTTATATTGTATGTTAGTAAAACACAAAATTTTATTTGTAGAAACAAAGCAGATCATAATTTATCAACCCTTGGGCCGATTTGCTTCAAATTTTGATTGGGAATGTTCTTAGCTTGGATTAACAAATTTCAAGTTAAGTGGGTCGCTTTTGATTGGGCAAAGCTGGGTTCCCAAACTAGTATTATATAATAATTCACACCTTGCATTAATTAAAGCGTATTTTACATTATTTAATGAATTTAAATTTGAAAAAAAGTAGAATTCAATATTTTAAGTACAGTGTAGTCTTAAGCATTTATTTCATATCTTAAATCCCCCCCCCCCCCCCCCCC